TCTAGAGGAGTTAAATCATGGTTCCTATTACAAAATTTAAGGGGCTTTTCAAATAGCTGGCAGAAGCCCATCCTGAACCAGGAAGAATGTCAATAAGGCAGAGTGCAAGTACAGCTGTGTTTTGCTGACGATTCATTGGCTTGTGTAAGTGATCGGTGGTAGCAGGAGTCAGAGTGTTTCATAACCCTCTTGGGGCAATAGGAAATAAAGATGTCTTGGTTGAGTTACTGGGAGCAAGCTTGCTGGTCTCTGGCAGTCAGAGCAGCAAGGCTGTGTGTAGAGCTGCAGCTTCTGCTTTAACCTGCTTTGGTAGACCTCTCCCCCATGCCTTTTGTGGGAATATTGTCAGTTTCCTGTCTTCCTCTGAGCATTTTTTAAATTCCTTACAGGCTGCTTATCATTTGTAAGTTGGGTAACCCAAGGTTTTGTGCCACCCGTTTTCATGGCTTTATGAACCATGTATATGTTGATTTCTCATAACTGGATGATTATATATGTGGACCAGTTTTATTAAGATCCTTAACCTTTTAAATAAGGTTACTTCACGTTTCTTAATAAGAAGACTGTGACCTAACATCTGTTTTAAGAGCCATTAGCACCGAGAGTAAACATCTGAAATCATATGTCCCCTCCACTCTTCAGTCTTTGTTCCCATCTCTATTCAGGTCTATTGTCTTCCTTTTTATCTGTGGTTTCCAGTCTGGAAATTTATGGAGTAACAATTAAGTTGTGTTTCTTTAGAGTAGTAAATATTGCTTTTATGATGTTTTCTGGCTGACCTTTTAGCTCCACTCCTGTTATTCATTGCTTACTTGTTGAGAACCTTGTGTATGCTTGAAATCTGCACCATCCAGCCTACCTGCCCATCTCAAACTTCGTACATTCCTCTCCACTCATTGCTTTTATATATCTTTACACATTTTTAGTACTTCATACTGTGATTCTTCTACTTGCATATACATTTCCTTGTTTAACAGACTACACATGTATCCAATTTGTCATTAGATTACAGCACTGTTAATGCTGTAGGTCTTTAGTGGGTCCTTATCTTAATAAAGCAAAAGTTCTAAGTGTCCAGCCTGGAGAGACGGCCAGCAGTTAAGAGTTCTTGCTGCACTTGTAGAGGGACAAGAAGAGGTCAGTTCCCAAGAGTCACATCTGACAGTTCACAGCTTCCAGGTGATCAGGAGCCCTCTTATGACCCATGCAGGCACCCACAAACACATGTATGCACGTGCATTTACATTAATAAAAGTAAAATCACTTTTCAAAATCCTGAAAGTTTTATGTGTGTTAAGCTCACTACATCCAAGTTGGGGAATCTTTCCTTCTCCCTCCTCACAGCAAATTTTATAGCATTTTCTTTCATGATTATGTGGAACTTTCATAGGACTTTAGAAACTAATTTTTTTTGGTTATTATTATTATTATTAATTTTTACCCAAACCTGGTAATTTTTTCAAGTAATGAAATTTAAGCTACTAGTTTACCTGGATGACTGAAAACATGTACTAATAGAGGGAACTGAAACTTGGATTATTAGATTTCTTGTTTAATATGTGCCTGACTTCATACTATGCTTTCTCCGTGAGTACTTGCAACTTTCTGTTATCCGGCCCTTTGTTGTGCTTTCTCAGCACTAAATATAAGTACAACGACAACTTTTTCATACTGACAAGCTGTATGTATATATCTTGTATTAAAAATGTCGACTTAGATATTTAAGCTTAATTAAAATAAAATGAAATTTAAATATGTATTTTACAATATGATAACATCGGGGGGTTTGCTTTTAACAGTGTGTTTTCTTTTCACAAATATTTGCAAGGTCCTATATGGAAATACATAAATCACAATGGATGATAGTATACAGGATGGCTAGATGATTAGAGGGAATTTTGATAGGAGATGAAGATGGTGTGAAAATTTGCATTTGAGGCATCCTTAGAGACTTTGGATTATACTAAAGTCAACCTTTTTAAGGAAGGAGTGTGGCTGAATTAAGAGGCATATGCAGTGATTTAATGATTGCTGTCTGATGACTTGGAAAAGGTAGGATAAGTAGTGGCTCATGGACTTGGCAGATGGGAGATGATATTAATATGATCTATTGATGTTTTTGCATGCAGCGAGGCAGAAGGACAGTGTAGGAGCTAAATTTCTGACTTGTACAAACACCTGGGACCATAAGCTAATTGCTAATTAAAACAAAGGTTCCAGATTGCTGTTGTCTAGAGTCACAGTTTGAAGGACAGAGCTGTGCTCCTGCTTCTTCATACTGATGCAGAAGTCATTTTGGAGTAGGCTTCATGTTTTTAAATGCTACATTTAGTTCTGGCTTACAAATTCTGTGGCTGAGTAGAAACAATGTTTAAATTATACTCTATTTGCCTCACATTATATTTCTTTTTTGTTTAATAACTATTCATTGGTTCCTGTAAATAAAAACTGATGAGTTACAACTACGGTTGAAAAAGGATGTTTACAAATATTGAGTTTTTCCTGTTTTCTTTCACTTTCCTGTCTTTTGTTTGAAATAGTGCATGGAGCCCATGGTGGCTTGGAGTTTCTGGTCTCCATTTTTATATCTTCCGCCTATAGCGTGTGGCTTGCATGGAGTAGGTGTTTTCTGAACTAGTGAAGTAAGACATCAGAAGTTTAACCTGGTCTCACTTTTTTCATTTTCCTAGGATGGCTGGCTGTGGTGAAATTGATCACTCAATAAATATGCTTCCTACAAGTAAGAAGGCGAGCGAGTCCCGTTCTAATGCTGCCCCTTCCCTAACAGTTCCCGAGTGTGCCATTTGTCTGCAAACATGTGTTCATCCAGTCAGTCTGCCCTGTAAGCATGTTTTCTGTTACCTGTGTGTAAAGGGCGCTTCATGGCTTGGGAAGCGATGTGCTCTTTGTCGACAAGAGATTCCTGAGGACTTCCTTGACAAGCCAACCTTGTTGTCACCAGAAGAACTTAAGGCCGCAAGTAGAGGAAATGGTGAATATGCGTGGTATTATGAAGGAAGAAACGGCTGGTGGCAGTATGATGAGCGCACTAGTCGGGAACTGGAAGATGCTTTTTCCAAAGGTAAAAAGAACACGGAAATGTTAATTGCTGGGTTTCTGTATGTTGCTGATCTTGAAAACATGGTTCAGTATAGGAGAAATGAACATGGACGTCGCAGGAAGATTAAGCGAGATATAATAGATATACCAAAGAAGGGAGTAGCTGGACTTAGGCTGGACTGTGACGCTAACACTGTAAATGTAGCAAGAGAGAGTTCTGCGGATGGTGCGGACAGTGTATCCGCACAGACTGGAGCTTCTGTCCAGATGACAGTGCCGCCTTCATCAAGGCCCCTGACATCCGTTGATGGTCAGCTAACCAGCCCTGTGACACCGTCCCCCGATGCAGGCACTTCTCTGGAAGACTCTTTTGCTCATTTACAACTCAGTGGGGACAGCATAGCTGAAAGGAGCCCCAGAGGCGAAGGAGAAGAAGACCGTGAATCACCACCATCTTCTGGCAGAGTACCAGACACTTCTGTTGAAGAAACTGAGTCGGATGCCAGTAGTGATAGTGAGGGTACCCCTGTGGTGGCTACACAGCACTCCTTGGCCCAACAGAGACTTTTGGTTTCAAATGCAAACCAGACAGTAGCTGACCGATCGGACCGATCCGGGACTGGATCAGCAGCAGGGGCTGGAGCCATGAGTGTCAATGTCAGGTCTAGAAGGCCGGATGGACAGTGCACAGTGACAGAGGTTTAAGTAAACATCTTCAGGGCCACACAAGGGTGAAATGGATACCTGTAAATTTCTGCCCCATAACATTATACTCATCCTTAGTGCATTGTGGGAGCTGGGGTGGGAAGGGATGTGGGAAGGACAGACCTGAAATTAAAGTGTTTAACATGTCTCTGTTGAAATTTATTTTATGTGAGGAATTGGGGTGTTGATATTTGAGAGCTGTTCAGTAATAACACAGGTTTCTTGACATCTATTTACTTCATAGTGTATTTTTTTAAGTCTTACTTCTTTTGGCCAGTGTGTACCTGCATATTAATGGTCCTCGTCTGACTCTTGCTCTGCCTTGTTTTTCTGCATGGAAAATCATTACTAAAATTTGGCACCCGTGAGATATTTGATATCATTATGAGCAGGAAGCTTAATGTGGAAAATAGATGTGAATTTGGGATTTAAAAATAGGTGACTAACAACTGCTTCATAGTTGGTCTCACGGAGATGGAAATGTAAAGCAAAAGCTGGTAAGTTGTTTCACAATCTAACACTTCATGGCCTTCCTTTCCATAGGATTTGCTGTCTTGTCCTTGTATTTGGAGGTTTCTCTTAGTCTGCATTTTTCTTTTCCATTAAAAAGAAACTTTATAATTTAATAAATACTAGAGTTTATCAAAAATAATTGTTTCTTGTTTGAGTCTGGAAAAGGGACGGGGGCACTTTGCTACTTGTGGTTGAAGAGCTTTTTTTAAAAGGTTGGGTTTGAATTGATTGTATTCTGCTCAATTGTCCCCCATCAGAAGTTTGATTTCTTCATAAGAGACTGTACAGAGAAGCTATCTGTGCCATTGTGTTTGGAATAAACAGATGTGGAAAAAGACTCAAAAGCTGTGAGATTTAAATTTCTCAAGCAGCTAGTAGTTTTATATTTCCTTTAGCAGTTTCTATCAGTGGTATTACTGTAAACTTGCAAGAATGATGGTTATAGATCAAATATATGACTTGGTAAGGTAGAATGTATTGGTGAGCACAAACCTGAGAATTTGTCTCTAGAAAAATCATGCCTATCCTTACTTCCTTCAGAAAGTGGGATTGTGTGGGTACATACCTCTAAATTCTCTTGATTAAGTTTATCAAGTTAACCGAATACTAAAACAAAACATAGTCACCATTTTGAGTGTCTTTTACCTCTTACTGAGACAGGTCAGGACAGCTGAATTCTTAGATAAACATTTTAAAGAAATATTCTGAGATGAACATAACATTTCAATTATGTGTGTTTATTAAATTTAGTTTTAAAAGACAGCCACGGAAGAATTAAAGTTAAATATTATTCAAAAAACCTGGTAAAAAAGAAAATGTTTAAGGATGCTTCACAAATCTTTAATAGTTTCAATTATTAAACCCCATCAACAGTAGAATTCCAGGGAACAATGCAAAGCTGCTTTGTACAGCTAGTCAGTGCTCTTGTGTAGTGGCTTTCACTGTTTAGTAGGTCATATGAAATACGCTTAAAAAGGCCAACTAAAGCTCCCAAGTTCAGCAAAGATGCATTTTTTTTTTTTTAATGAAAGACCATTTCCCATCAGTATTCCAAGTGTACAAAGCAGAAAAAGCAACTAGTATTTCTTACACACCTCTAATCCTCCCTTCTGTTTGCTTCATAAGAAAAATTTACTGAGGTCTTTTGTTTTTAATTTTGCTTTTGTAAATTACATCAACTTAAGAAAGAATAAAATGACCAGAAACAATAGCATATACCAGCATTTGGGAGATGGTGGCATAGTAAGTTTAAGACTTTGCCTTAAAATTTAAATTAACATATTACAAAAGATAAGCCCAAGAATAGATTTGCTGTTTGAATATTGATCTTTGGCTCTAGGACAAGAATTACTGTAGGAATGTAGAAATTGGTAGAAGTGATTTAAGCAAATGTTAAAAAAAGAACAAACTGAGATATGAAAAATATCATCCAAACCAAATAAGCACTTTAGCAGTCAGCTCAAATGAATTCTGCTGCTCAGGGGAATATCATTTCACTTCCATCCATGTTCTTACTGCAGCGTCAACTTGTAGTCCACCCACACTTAGTTAACTACTTAGTGTGCTTCCCTCTCTTAGCAACAGCCTCCAAATTTGCAGGACCGCCCCACAGTGTTCCTAAAACATCTCTTTCATTCTGTAATGCTTCCTCTAAAAGTAGCTCTCTGCCTGAACAAACGGACTTTTTTAACCCTCTAATGACTTCCGGAGGCCCACTGACAAATTGCTCTAGCCACTCTTGTGCCTCCTGTAGAGCCTTAGCCTCCTCAAAGCACTGTAAGACCTCATCAGCTAAGCCCATGTTTAAAGCTTTCTCGGAATCCAGTTTGAGGCTGCCACTTAACACTTTGAGCGCTTGTCTGCTGCCAATGATTTCAATCAGCCGGCTGGCACCACCCCAGCTTGGAACTATACCCATATCCTTGTGGACAAATCTGATCACACTCTCCACAGTCATTAACCTGTAAAAACAGAGAAAAAGCTGTAAGTACATGTGTATACTATAACCATAAAGGAGTAAATGCCCCTGCGCTAACAGAAAATTAATTGGTCTTTTTAGGCATATGTAAAAACAATGGTGGAGAATGTTCCTAACTAGAATTTGATTCCACAAACATTTGCTTTTGAAAATAACATTTTGTTTTAGCTTTGTCAAACTTGGAAAACGAGAACCCAGCCTTCCAATAAAAAGAACTTCATGTTAACAAATTCTTAGAGCAACTGACATAAATACTCTCATTTTATGGTTGAATAAGCATGCGATGGAATCACAAGGACTTGACCGCAGCATAATTAATAATTGGTAGGTATAAAAAAGCATTGCACCTGCTAGTTATTTGAATACTCTCAGCATACTATAAAGTTCTACTTTATAGTGTATGTTTTTGTTGCATGTATCAACAGAAGACTTACTATGTTAAAACCTAATTTGACTAAATTTCAAATTGCAACTTAATTTTTTCCTTAGGAGTAACTGTTTTCAAAACTACTCACTGTAAGAAAAAAAGCTGAAGTGATTTCTCTTCCCAACACATTGTACATTCAACTGTGGATGACTTATTTCTCTTAGTACCAAGTTTCTCAAAACTGCAGCCTGACCTTTAATCATGAAACACTGCAGAGAATTTCTGCAAAAGCCTACTAACCAACTGGGAAACTTTCTCCTCAGAGAGATGAAATTTCCGTCAAGAGTATGCCACAATCATGAACAATACTACGGAAATGGCTTCAATAAACAGCTTGTAAATGGGTACGAGGCAGAGCAAGTCTAATTGTTAAAAGAATCTAATCTAATTCTATAACAGGAACCTGCTAAAAGTTTGGGAAGGAATTAAATTTGTAAAATATAATATCCAATAGTTGTAGAAATAGAAATGATTGTTACTCTTGAGCCTAGACTCGGAACAACTTAATATGCCAGTTTTTAAATCGAATTCTGGAATTGGCATGTGTTGGTTTAGCTATTAGCACAGCTGAGAAAGTGATTCTATCAGGAATAAACTCATTTAGAACTGAACATAAATTAGTGAGACACTGAATGTCAGTACAATGTAGAGGATGCTATATGAGTTATTACAGTGGCCATCTATGAGTTGTTATAATCCAGGAAACCATTCTTACATATGTTTTGTCTCCTCGTTACTTTGCAAGATCAATTACATAAAGTTTTATCACATTCATTTTTCATGTACATGTGTGTGCACACATTCCATGGCATACTTATGGAGGTCATCTGGTTCTCTTTTTTACCCCATGAGAATTGGGGATGGGATTGTGTTGGGATGCCAGACTTGGAAGTACCTTTACCCAACGAGCCATCTTACTGTCCCACATATGCCCACTTGAATCCTATTTTACAACTAACAAATCCTTAAGTCATCTTTGTAAAAGCATGCATTATAATCTGATATATATTCTTTATAAATTACGTAGCTAGTAGTATATTGTATTGGCATACCTTTTAGTATACATTAAGCATAATTTTAAAAGTCCATTGATACAGGAAAACAAGGTCTCTACAGTTAGAAGCATACAAAGCTCTCAGGAAGAAACATTTCATAAGATACTTCATTAGCCTCATAGAAGTAAACTTAAAATTTTCTTTTTCTTTCTTTCTTTTTTTTTTGAGGCAGGCTTAGGGTTTCTTTGTATTGCTTTGGAGCTCATCCGAGAACTAGCTCTGTAGACTAGGCTGGCCTCAAGCTCCAGAGATCCATCTGCCTCTGCCTCCCAAGTGCTGGGATTAAAGGCATGTGCCAACATTGCCCAAACTTTAAATTTTCAAGTGGTGGAAAATATAATCAAGAGGAAATGATCCAATAATCAATAAGATACACCTCAAAATGGGAACTGCTGCTTCATCTTCCAGGATTATATAGTAATTCCTGAGTTCCTCTCAGTTACCTACTATCACCTGGATGCTTATTGGAAGGAAAATCTAAGACCCTATTTAGAATCTTCTAATTATAAAGTCATAATATTCGATTTATAAAGCTATTAAACTCCCTAACTTTGATAGAAAAGAGCTCTAAGTGCATCTGACATATTGACAAGGAAGAGAGGAAATTCATCAGATGTTGGTATGCGTCTTACTATTTGGATGGAAGTAGTACAGGAAAAAACTACCCACAACTGGGCGAAGACTGTGTGTGTGTGTGTGCGCACGTGTGTACATTCACCACACCACACATGCACAGGTCTTCAGATAGTTTGTGGGAGGCAACTTCTGCCATGTGGGACCCAGGGATTGAATTCAGGTGCTTCCTGCTGAGCCATCTCTGTGGCCTGACTGTTACTTTGACAGAGTTGCAAGATCAGATGCCGAGTGCAGAAAAGGCTATTCTATGGTGCTACTGTCTACTGATGTGGGAACCCTCATCAGGGTTAGCAAACATTCAAGAATGTTTTGGAATGAACTGAAACTTTACTGAACAGGAAGTTTTTTATAAAATGTATACAAGAAAGTTGGAGTTTAGTGTATTAATGAAAAAAAAAAAAAGGTACGTTTAGTGACCTGTAAGAAAATACAGAATATGTATTGAAATGGAAGATGGCAGAGATCTCCTGAGCAGTACATGGAGCCACAGCCAGACCATGTAGCTGGAAACCCTAACATGACGTCTCTAGGGAGAGTATCCTCCAGTTTCTTCATGTGAGCACTCAATGCTATGAACTCTTCTCTTAGCACTGCTTTCAATATCCCATAAGTTTGTGTCTTCATTTACATTTAATTCTCGGAAGTCTTTAATTTCTTATTTCCTCCTTGACCAAGGAGTCATTCAATTGAGCATTGTTCAGTTTCCATGAATTCGTAGGGTTTCTGCAATTTGTGTTGTTGAATTCTAATTTTAAGCCATGGGAATCCGATATGATATAGAGAGTTATTCCAATTTTGTATGTGTCTGTGTCTGTTGAGGTTTGCGTTGTTGCTGAGTATGTGGTTGATTTCTCAGAGGGTTCCATGTGGTGTTGAGAAGATGGAATGTTCTATAGATATGTATTAAACTCAACTGAGTCATAACTTCTGTTAATTCCTTTATTTCTTTGTTAAGTTTCTGTCTGGTACTCCTGGAACATCTATAAATTCTTAACCTGTGCTCGTCATATGGAAGAATATTAAGTGTATCAGTATCTGTTTGCATATAGCTTAGACCTCTTTGAATATATTTTGTATTTATATAATTACATACTTGAGTTATATACTCTGTACTGGTATTTCTGGTTAAAATAAAGAAAACAAGCATTTTTAAGCTTATACATAAAGCATTTCCTGTGTAGTCTCACACACCAGCAAAGCCAATGGGACTGCTTCCTCAAAGAACAAAACCAAGCAGAAAGAACCTAGTGCAATCTGAAGTCCTGACAGCAGAGGGCACTATGATAGAATGGTTTTATTTTGTTTGTTTTTCTCCATTGTATCCAGGAATCCACTCACTTATACTGGTTTTCAAAGAGGCTGAGATCTTTGTAAATTTTCTCCTACATCAAAACAATTTTAAATTTCCCAAGTAATAAACGTTTAACTAAAACAAGTACTTAATTAACAATGAAAAATGAAATTTTCTTATTCTAGAGTTTGTTGAATCTTCTCTCACATTATTTCTATTCTATGTCATCTATAAGAAGTTAAAATGGGAAAAAAATTATTACAGAACATTTAGTTTATAGGATTGGAAATCATGAAAAGCATCATGATAATATTCAATGTATTACATTAACCCTGCGTGGAAGTGAGAGGTTGTGATGAAGAGAGGAAGTAGCAGGATCCCAAGGTGTTGCCACTCACCTACTGAGTCATGGTTTCCCGGGTTCTGATTCTGTAATAGTCATGGAACTGAACATTTGTGTTTGATATACATAGAATCAAAATCTTAGACTGCCTTATCAAAACTTAGTTTCTAAACTAGTCAAGTAATATACAACAAAATAAATAAACCTTATATCACAAAAAATCCTTGTTAGGGAAATTTTCATCTTCATTTTTTACGTTAAAAAATACTATACAAAACTCCATAAAATGACTGTGGAAACTGACAGTTACTGTTCTCACTGCGATGTCAAAATTCCTGACAAACAAGTTAAGGAAGGGAGGCTTTATTCCAGCTCACGGTACACAAGAGTGCCATCATAGCAAGGAAGGTAGGACATCAGTAGTGCAAGGGTGAATTCCACCGTGACAAGGAAGGTCTGGCACTGGGAATGGGAGGGTGCATTTCATCCTGGTGAGGAAGGTAAGGCATCAGCAGTGGGAGGGCAGCTCTGCACACTACACGAACACTTTGGAAATAGAGCTATACATCCTGATGCATTCCCTTTTTAATACAGTCCAGAACCCAGCCCATGAGATGGGGCTGTCCATAGTTAGGGTGGATTTTCCAACCTCAAGTAACCTAATTTAGGCAATCCCTCATGGATATGCCCAGTGATTTCTCTCTGAAATGTCTGTAGATCCTGTCAATCTGTATAAACCAGCATAATATACCCAAATGTTCTTTCTGATGAAAATATAATTACCATGGCAATTTACTTTTACTATGTGCATTTATTTAAATGATAATTGACTAAAGCAAAAATATGGTAATTGTGCCATTGTAATGTACAGAAACAAAATAAATATTAATATACCCAAGGAACAGAACACAAGAAATAGATGTATATAGTGTAATATCCTAACATCTTACATGAATTAGTTTATTATTTGATGGGAGGGTGTGACAACTTTAAGATGCATACTGTTAATTCAAAACTAGAAGAAACCAGTTTCTCTCTGTCCCCACTTTCTCTCACTGTGTGTGTTGGGAGGAGGTCAATAGAAGTAAAATGTTATTACACAATCTACAATGAGGCAAGAAAACAGAGTAAGGGAACAAACAGAATCAGGTCATTAGAAAAAAATATTAAGATGGTAGACTGAGCGGACAGGAGAGAGAGTTCACTGGTTAAGAGCAGTTTCTCCTTTTGGAGAGGACCCAGGCTCAGTTCCGAGCACTGACATGGTGTCTTACAATTACTAGTAAATCTAGGTCCAGGGGATCCAATAACTTCCTTTGCCCTCTTGAGAACACCATGTTACACATATATACATGTAGGCAACCACTAATGCTTATAAAAAAATAACTTTCTAAAGAGATGGTAGACAGAAATGAAATCATATCAATAACAATGAGTATAAACTACAAATATACCAATTAAATGGTAGATATTTGCAACACTGGATAAAAAAAGTATGCTTCTAGTCTGGCCTGGAGTGCAGATCAGAAGGGCCATGTCCTTAGCTTCAGAAACTGGGCCAGAATTTGGCTGAAACACAGTTCTTTGCTATGACTCAAGGCTCCAGGGACTTCTTAAAAGAACCGTTCAATGTGATATTGTCTAACTCCATGTTTATGAATCCCAGAACAAGTATACAACACAACAGAGGTTTCCTCCTCAGGTTCCTTGGGACAGTACTAAGAAGGCAGCCTCAAGCCTGTGCAGAGCATCAGATTTTCTAGGCTCTCTACCCATGCAGCTACTGAAACCTGGGCATCATTCTAAGGCAGAGGAATTCCCAGAATTTCCTGCAACTTCGTTCTCTTATTTATAAACATGCTATGAATCACAGATGGTGGAGACATGGATCTCAGCAAATCTTTCCTGAAGACAGGCACAGGGAAATCTTTGTGTCCTTTTCTCTTTATCTTACATTCTTTAGTTGTTAACTCCTTCTGAATAATTTTCTTGGATTTTTAAAAAATAATTATTTATTTATTATGTATGCAGTGTTATGTCTGAATGTTTGCCTGCATCAAATCTCATTATAGATGGTTGTGAGCCATCACGTGGTTGCTGGGAACTGAACTCAGGACCTCTGGAAGAGCAGTGTTCTTAACCTCTGAGCCATCTAAGATTTTAGAGTTTCATATGTTTCCTTGACTTACCTTCTTAGGAACTTTGCTAATATGGAATTGATTGTCTTTTGTTGTTGTTTTTTTAAAAAATGCATTATATTGAACAATAGTAACTGTACAAAACTAAAAATTATCTACTTTAATCATTGATAAAAAGAATATATTATTCAATTAATAATCTTGTTTAAGAATATATCAAATATTGAAATTAAGGCAAAACTACATTCAAACATGTGCTAATTGTGTTTATGCCTGCAGCAATTTTTATCTTACCTGAAATCACATGCTGTAGTAAATTCTGCTCCTCCACCCATTGCCCAGCCTTGAACCAGAGCAACGCTTATTAATGGTAGTCTGTATATGGAAGGAAAATGGATGTGAATAACTCTAACTTTAATGTTCACTTACATGCATCATTTTAAGGTCTTCAACATTTCTCAGTTAAAAACAGGAGCCATCAAGGGTAGTGAATCCTTGCACCATCAGAAGTAAAAAACCAGGAGGCCAAGCACACAGCAGCTCACACTAGTGATCAGAAATGGTGTATGTATTGTAACTGGAGCTAAAATGGGAGGGCAGAGGGTTAGCAAACCCCCTGCCTGAAGCCTATGTGCCTGTAGTGCCAGGGTCTCTCCACAGCTGTCAGGACACTCACTGTCACTGCTCTATAGTCAGGGTTGGGGTATTATGGTCATATTCAAAGAGATAAACCTGGTCTAAAACACAGAGCTACAAAATCAAGTATTGAACAGTCCCATCAAAGGATGCATCATTACTGCCGAAATGACCATAGACTATTCCTGTACCTAAGTATTACTTAGTGCTCAAAAGAAATCTTATTGTTTCTGTTTATAAAGCACCATTCATAGCAGACATTAGTAAACCCCTTTAATCCCAGCACTTGAGAGACAGAGACAAGTGGATATACAAGGACACCCTGGTCTAGTTCCTGCACAGCCAGGGCTACATAGCAAGACCTTATCTTTTAAAAACTAATAATAAAAGTAAATTCTGTCACAACAGAATGAGAATACTATCTGGTATATCTAAAATGTTTCCCATATATACATTTCTTTTTTTTTTTTAGGCTCTAACCAAAATGTAAATCTATTGGCCTAATGTGACTAAATATTTCCTAATAAGCTCTACTTCCACATAGAAAAGATTACTTCAAGGAGAATAACTTTAGCCAGGGGTGGTGTGGGCACACTGATAATCTAGGCACTCAGAAGATAGAAGCAGGAGTCAGGAGTTTAAGGCCAGCCTTGATTATTAGTAATGGTGTGTGTGTGTGTGTGAGAGAGAGAGAGAGAGGCCAAACTGGGCTACATAATACCCTCCCTCAAAAATAAATTGATTAATTAATAAAAATTAAAGAATATAGAAAGAAGGCTGATGGCTCAGTGGTCGTAGTGCTTGTTGCTTTTGTAGAGGACCATTGTTCAGTCCCCAGCACCCACTCAGTAGTTAATAGTCATACCTAACTCCACTTCGAGGGGACGAGGCCTCCCTCTGGTCTCTGAAGGCACCAGACACATATGTGACACCCAGACAAAATACTCATACATAGAAAAGTAAAATAATCTAAAATAAAAAAGTTTTAAACTAGTAAAAAAAAAAAAAAAAGTTAAGATCAGTGTGGTGTGAGAAAGAGTTAAGGCAATGGTATTTAGAACAGTACTGTTATGATCTTATTATCTTTTCTAGATTCTCTGATGAGTACCAAAAATACAGAAATGTATAATTAATAATGCTTAAACATGAATTTTCTTAGTTTTCATAATTTTAAACTGCTTATATTTAGAATAAAAATCAGAAAGAGATTCCAAGCATGTCCAAATTTGTAATCTGAAATGTAAATTTTTTTCTCCCTTTTCCTTTATCTGGATGTAAAGTAAACCCATTCTTGTCAGAAGCTGTAGAAGTATTCTCCAATCCACAGTTCTTCATCTGGATGCAGGACACTTCACTCTAATTCTACCACCCTCCACCCTGGAGGGATCTCTGCCTGGTGTCAGGTTGACTTTCACGATAGCTGTTCTCTGTGGTAGCTGATTATATGGGCAATTAAGTTTTCCTCTTTCACCTTCTTTACAAACTGTTCATAACTCACTGACATTTCATTCTGATGACTGTTCCCTATGGCATAAAGAAATCGTCCATCATGATAACAGGCACAGTTTGAAGCTGGGTAACTTCTTTGTCTTGTCTTTTCCTTATTTCCTTCCTTCCTTCCTTCCTTCCTTCCTTCCTTCCTTCCTTCCTTCCTTCCTTCCTTCCTTCCTTTCTTTCTTTCTTTCTTTCTGGTTTTTTGAGGCAGGGTTTCTCTGTATTGCTTTGGAGCCTGTCCTAGAACTAGCTCTGTAGACCAGGTTGGCCTCAAACTCACAAAGATCTGCCTGCCTCTGCCTCTCGAGTGCTGGGCCTGCTAACTTTTGTAAATGTACAAATAATGGAATAAGGGAATAATAAATTATTAATCTGGGTATTTTAAAAATCCTATTTTTTAAAAAAGATACATTACCTCATAAATCTTGTTAAGGTGTTCTGCATGAACATAGATAAGGCCACTCCTTTCTTTAAAAAAAAATAAACACAAAAATGAGCATATTACATGAGAAATACTTTTAAAATTCAGATTTTGAAAAGAAACAAAGCACTGCTTTCAATAAGTTTGGGCATGTTGAGTATTCATTGACATTGAATTCTCAGAAGTCTTTAATTTCTTTCTTATTTCCTCCTTGACCCAGGAGTGACACAACTGAACATTGTTCAGTTTCCTAGATTTTTCACAAACTACACTTTTCTCATGAGCCATACCTTCTTTAATCCAGTATAACCTGACGTTCAGCCTTATCCCAAAACATTTTAATACTGTTTGCCAAATGAAATGACTTTCCTTATTCTGTATCATCTTCTCTTCGACCTAGCACAGTTCCTTCACTCTGGGCCCCTCTTTCTAGGGGCAGTTTTCTGTTTGTCTGTTGCTGTGACTGTTCTCCAGTATCCCCTTCACTCATCCCTCTCAGCCAAGCCCTAAAGGCAAGAGCTCACCCACCCACCCCACAGCTCTTTCTCTTCTTCATCTGTATTCTTTTCTTTGAAAGTTTAAACCACTCTCACTGTTGGTTTCTGGGAAGCGTCAGAACCTACTGGATATTTCCACATTCTGGACTTTACTGTACGGCCAGCAGTGTCTCAAAACTCAGCACTGCAACACTTAGGAGGAGTAAAGGACAGTTTGAGTTCTTGTTTCTACCACTCAGCAATAGCATGCACTTGAGCAAATCATGAATATGAGCTCAGTTTCCTCATCCGTAGGAATGGGGAATAAAACAAGAATCTGGTAGATTTACAGGATGATGGGAAAGGTAGAAATCTGCATGTTCTATAGGTGACACACATGCACGCACATGCAAGCACACATATGTGGACATGCACACTGCTTAGGTACTAGAAAAGCCACAATGATCAGCAGGCTCACAATGCTGGTGTTATTACTAGTTCATAGCATCCTTATCACCAGGACCAACATGCATCTTCTCAGCTCCTCTTCTGAAATATTTCCAACATTTCTTTTCTCTTTTTATTCCAACTGAACTAGTCTAGACCTGTTCATTGGTTCATGGATTGATTAGTATAAAAACAAAAATAAAAACAGCTTTATTTCCTACCTAATATTTCTGTATTTATTTTCTTTTTCTTAGATATACTTTCCATCATGCTGCTTGGTAACTCTTCCTGTAGGATAGCAATTTCCTATCAGCCACAAAATCGTCTAAGATCTTGGAAAAACAAAATCCCAAATAATCCTAAAGTACCTTACTGACATTAACTCCCATATCTTCAACCAAGAATCTTAACTGCAGATGCAAAATATCTGGCAATCTTCTAAATACCATATACCTAGTATAATATTATGTATGACATAACACACACACACACACACACACACACACACACTGTGTTTTGCTCACACAAGCCCACCATTTCCATAGTTGTAGCAGCTTGTTCTTGTTCTATTCCAAGGAATAATGTGATTCCATCACAAGTTTCCAAATGACACAATGGTTTTCTCTTGTGTTTCACAGTACTATCTTTTTATTCTTGTACCTTAAATACAGTACTTACAAACTGTTTGCTGTGAACTATGTGTTTCAATTCATTACTTGACATATTGCCTCTCCAAGATAGGGGCTAAGAAATACAACACGTCCTCAATAATCTTGGTGGAGCAACCATTAAGGTCCTGTGTACTGGTTTTCTGTGGCCGCTGCTTGAACCCATGGAGAAAGGTGCCAATGAAGAAACAATTAATTTAACTGAGGTGCAGAGACATGAGGCAGCAGAAAATTTGAAACTACATGATACCTTCCTTGAGGCTGATGGCATACTATCAATACTAATGACAATCCTATAATGGGATGAATGTGTTTCCAGGAGGAAGAATTATTATTATTGATTCATTACCCAAAGCTACAGAGTCAAACACTTATTTAGTTCCCTGAGTTGAGAGAGGAAAAGAAGTCAAGGAGCTGGAGACAATACTCAGCAGTTAAGAGCTATTCCTCTAGGCACCAGGGTTCAATTTTCAGCATTTACACTGTCACTCACCACATCTGTAACTCCTGTTCCAGGAGATCAAACACCCTGTTCCGTCCTCCCTGGACATGCAGTAGATACATAGGCAAAGATAGAATAAAACAAAATTTAAAAAGAAAGGAAGAAAGACAGACAGACAGAGAAAGAAGTCAGCAAAATGGAAGACCCTACCTGCAGAAAAAACTATGGAAAAGACAGAAAGACAAACCTAACAATGTTTGGGTACAGACAAAGGACTTACAGATGCTGTTTCCTCTGTCTGTATCCTGAGATCCAACCTCACCTGTCTAGCTCTCCCTGATATCAACCATCACAAAACATGTGCAGTATTCGATGCCCACAAAGAACCACAGGCACCGCCCTCTGCACTTGGGCCCATCTTAACTACAGTAACTCCCTTCCTGCAAAGTGTCTTGTTCTATGACCATATGAACCAGCTGTATGGATTAATGAATTTCTTCCAAATACACTGGAAGATTTTTTGGAAAATAAGTAATTTGTATATTACTATGGCTAAAATGAAATTGTACAAGAGCAGCAACAAGCCCAAAGAAGCTAGACAGAAACTGAGGTGTGTGTTGGGGTGGGTGGGTGGGGGCTCCCTATAGACATTTAAGCAACAAAGACCCAAGCAATACACTGTCAAAAGAGTAACAAATGAGGTCAAGGACAAAGGAAGACAACATCTTCAAGCTAGGCTAAAACTGTGAAACTTTCTAAGTCCCAAACCTTTCCTTGACAGATCCCCTCCACTTGTAAAGTAAGCAATTCTGTGTTTCCTTATATACTGAAGTTTACTACTGTGGACTTTGATGCCTTCTTACTTCTAAAAAGAGACTTCACAGGGCCTCTAAACATCCATAGCATAAAACCTTACTCTTATAGCTGAATAATATTTATACCCCTTTTTCTATATTTTGCTTTTCTTTCTTACATAACTCTTCAGAGCTAACCCTTAGTCACATTAGGCTTCCACATTCTTGACTAAGAACCAACTGTGTAATTTTCAAATAGATGGACTTTAGAGAGGGAAAAAAAAAAGGGTTTAGAATTGTGGAGTTATTTGTACTTCATTTACCATGAGAAAATTTTATTGTTCTTTGATTGAACTGAAATTATGAGAATTGTAATTTAGTCAATTATGCATCGATTGTTAATAAGCATACTGGAATCATTAATGTTTACAACCTCTGCTGTACTAGATATGTTATGAATGAAAAAGTCAGCTCATTCTGTTAAGATTTAGACATGATGCTTATGAATCATTAGATACAATACAATAGAATAGGCAGATTTAGATTTTGATTTAGCAAAAGCCACTCAAGACGTCTCAGATCAATTTTAAAGGCTGTTTTATCTTGATTCATCCACTCCTTTTGCAGGAGATGCTGTAGCCACAAAAGCATATACATTATTGAGCTTGCTTATGAACTCTCGATGAAAAGTTGGCTCAGGTGTGTGGGCATCGAGCTATGCACTGTCCCCTAATGTTCTTTATTACAGAGGCTGGTAGTCAGAGACGGGCAAAGTCGTTTTGCCTCCAAGCTACCTAAGGCAGGACACACATGATGGAGTGTGTGCTTCCCATGACAGGTAAGGCTGGAAGGTTAAAGATGACTACCTAAGACAGACACAGTCATCTGTCCTGTAGCAGAAGCACAGGTATTTTTTAATTATGTTAAGAAGGGGGACTTTGTGGGTGCCCATAAAGATGGCTCACTCCATCTTGGCACAAGGACAGAGTTCAAAGCTGTCAGCAAGTCATAAGACTTAAAGGACAAAGGTATGGCTACAGAAGGATGTTTTTGTCTGTCTTAGTCTAAATAACAACAGACCTGAATCTGAGGATGGCTACTCCTGCCTGTCAAGGCTAAGGAAGGAGAAGTTGAATCTGAGGTGTGGGTACTCCTGACCTCAAGGCTAGGGAACAAGAAGTTTAGAACTAAGGTGTGGTTACTGAACCCATAGAATAAGGGAGGAAGAAAAGTCTGTTTGCTCCACATACATGATACTGTGTTCCATTTTTTGGTTATGGTATATAAGAGTGTCGAAAAATAAACTTGTGGCATTTCAAAAAAACAAAAACAAAACAAAACAAAAAACCAGCTTAAGGGGTCAGTTACACACCGAAGGCAAACAACTAAGGAAGCTTAGTACACAACAGCGCCAGTGTTGACACCGCCATGGGTACATGAGGGTTTCACTGGATTTGTCTGCTTTTGTGGGCACTTGGAAATTTTCTTCAGTTTTTTTTTTTTTTTTTTTTTAAAGACTGGGTTGTTTCTCTGTGTAGCTTTGTAGACCAGGCTGTCCTCGAACTCACAGAGAGCTGCCTGCCTCTGCCTCCCTGAGTGCTGGGACTAAAGTTGCTCAGTACCACTGCCCAGGCTTCTTCAAAAATTTTAATTGAAATATTATAGTGGCAAAACACCTTTTAAAGACAAGTCCTTTAATAGTCACACTAAAGCATTTTATTATATTTAGAGGACAATGTGATTCACTTATTAACTTGTCATATATTTCAGTTACTTCATGATTTCCAGAGAGCAAATTCACCAAACGTGCGGATAGATACTGACACATCTGAGACAGTCTGAGTGCTGGACCAGAAGAGCTTCACTGAGAGAAAACACCAGGTCATGATAGGACTCTCGGGCTCAGCTGCAAGTGTCTGATGCATTCACTCCGACTGCAACTCGTTAATTTGTTAATTGTGTAAATTTAGTATTACAGAAACATAAATAGAAGATTACAGACTATCTGAAAAAAACCATGGTTCAGGAATTTTATATACACCATTTCTTCTTGTCAGTTTTCAAATAATCATGTAATAAATATACCCTATACTTTACAAATGTCACTTTAAACCTGAATATTACCTACAATGAAGCTGTAGTGCTTCATAGCTATGAGATGACAATAAGCCTGGCTCTCAGGAGGCTGGGGCGGGAGGATTTAAGTGACTTTTAATCCAATCAAGAACACTAGGACAATCTGAGCTACAGAGTAAGACTACACGCACACGCACAGTCTGAAGAACTGTCACGGATGAGAGATCTAAGGAATCATGAAGACTCCTATATAAGATTCCAAAGCAGAAAAAGGACACAACAGAACTACCAATCCCAATATTTTATGGAATTTCTTTTTCTCTCTTTTACTTCCAATACCAATAATTCATGGAATTTCCCTTTATCTCTTTTATACCAGTCTGACATGTAAAACTAAGTATATATCTAATGTGCACAACTTGAATTTGCAGATAATCATCAGTTCAACAATCAGCACCCATTCAGGCTGCAGATACACCCATCACTTCTAGTATTTTTTATCATCCCCTTTATCATCAATGTAGAGTGTGTGTATAAGAACATTCAATTTAAGATCCACCATCTTAGAAAAACTTATGGATATATTGTAGCATTGCTCATTATAGACACTATGCTAGAGAACTAATTTCTAGCACTAATTTACCTGTGTAGCGGAAACTCTGTTTCCCATATTCTGCCCTTAGTGCCTGTCAAACACCATTCTACTCTGTGCTCCAATGAGCTCCATCATTGAGACCCCACATGTGAGATCAGAGTGGAGTTTCACTATCAGTAAAATACCAGTGTTGGTGCATAAGTTTTTGACAAATCTTTATACCGAATAAATATGCCAAAACAAAGGGCATAGGGAACACACATGGAGGACTCTATACGATTCTTCCAACTTTTTCACAACCTTAAAATTATTCTAAAATTTCATTTTTTTTCTTTAAAATACTCAATCAAATTAGAAATGAGAGAGACATGGGGGGGCACTACAGGAGGGGAAGGAGAGTGTCAGGAGCAATACTGACAGCAAGAGGCACTCAGTCTCCAAAAACACCAGCACAACCAAGAGCGCGCCTCTTGGACCACAAAGATGAGACATTTCATTCTGTCAATCAAAATGTCTTTTATAGATACCCGGTAAGACCTTAACACTTGTTTGTGTTCCAGTATTAATTCCCGGGTAAATCTTCATAATTTCCCTTAAAAAATAAAAAAGAAACCATCCAAACAAAACAAAGCTATTGTTTGAAGGCTACTAAGGGACGCGAGCTCTGACAACAACCACGTAGGTTAAAATATGACTTTCTCCGCTGTGTCTGATGGGAGCAGCCTCGGGTGTACAGCCCACATACTTGCCTCTGGAGTGGAGAGTGCCTTCACAGCATTCAGATCAGATCCTGAGCAAAAGGTATTTTTTGCACCATGGACAATGAGGCCTTTCCCTTCTGTCCAATTTTCCAATTCAATTACCCTTTCCAAAAGTTGTAGCATCATGACACCTGCCAGGTGAGAGTTAAAACAAGAACACATGTAAGAGACTGATAAAAACAGAAATAGCAAAGTGCCCAGGAAGAACACTAGGACACATACTTTAGAAATATCTACAGCTACCAAATGCCTATTGTGCTAATACAATGGAATATACAAACAAGGCATATAAAACAGCCCCTGCCTTACAATCTCAAATTCATTAGCTTATGTATTTTAAGAAATCAAACAAACAGAAAGAAAAATAAGAATATATCATCCTAGACATGGAAAAACTGGGATATGTAATATTGGATACAGTGATAAGCAAAAATTATTTCTTATGGTAAATATATCAAATACATGTCAGTGAACAAGCTCAACAAGTTTTATAATCATGAGACGAGTACGATATTATATAATAAACAGGCTATAAAAAATAGAGGACAGAGTGAGTCTAACTCTCTTCCTAGCAAAACTGGCAAGATCGTACTTAGGTCTGGAAAAGATAATAAATACACAATAAATTAATGCCATGGTTAACAAACTAACATGCCTGAGGCACACTTGTGAAAGCACTTCACAGGTCTACCAGCAGTCAAGGCAATGGTTTAGATATTAGATGATAGTGGAGATATGATTACAAACTTTGGCAAAGCTTCCTTTAGCAATTAATTTAAAACTGGAAACCTCAGAGAATGCCATTTGAAGTTCTAATAAATAATCTGTATCTATGCACATCTTTGGTTATCTTCCAAGGTCATAATACCCTTAATATCCAAGGTAAAGGAAATCAAAATTAGAAGCCAAAGTAATTATCAAAACTGAAGGTTATAACTTCCAGAGAATCTACTGTTTCCAAGCCTGACTACACGGATACCATTACAATATTCAGACTTATTTTGGGGGGAAAAATACTACAAGGTCAATAATCACTACTCTTGTCATTTTTTAAGTAACCAGTGGGATGGGGTTCTACAATAAATGTTAGATCAGTGTTATGTACTCATAAATAACTAATAAAACCATCCTTTCTAAGTAATACCTACTTAAAATGGAAACTTCTCAAGAATGTCCTGCATACTTGAACAATACTACTGGATGCAAATTATTTATAGTTTGGGAGAAACCAAAGATCCACACATTTAGTGTAAGAATAAATCATCATATACAAATTACATCTTCAACCATGCATGATAATTAAGTGCCCAAACAGTAATAGTGGCCATAAATATAAAGAATTGTACTGCTAATGAATTTTAAACTCACTCTTTTGAGGTAGTGCAGTAAGGGCTGGGAGAGGCCTTATACACTAAAGGGTCTTGGAGTATCTGCAATAGGATTCATTCATCTTCCCCACCCAAGCTAACAAAACACCATTACTAAAAACAGCTCTGCTTTTAATTGTTTTGCACATTATGCAACAAATTAATATTACAGACATAATTGAATATATGGAGCTAGTACCATTAGTTTCATGCAAATTTTGAATACTTGAAATGTGGGCAGTCAACTGAGATGTGAACTAAAAGTAATAACAGATTTCAAAGACATGCTATGAAAATAAAAAGTATCTCACATGTAATTACGTATATGAATTATTTCCTTTAAGGATATTTTGAAGCATTTATGTTTAATGTACACAGAACCAAAATCTTTAGGCTGCCTTATCAAAACTTAGTTTCTAAGCTAGCTGAATAACACACAACAAAATAAATAAATAAATCTGGTGTCACAAAAATTCCTTGTTAAGGAAATTTTCATCTTCATTTACGGTGTTAAAAAATACTTTACAAAAATACACACAGTGACTGGGTGGGATCTGGGATAGTTACTTTTCTCCTGTGATGTCAAAATTCCTGACAAGAAACACATTAAAGGAAGGCCTTATTCCAGCTCAGTTTACAAGGGTACAGCCTTCCTGGCAAGGGAGGTCTCACATGAGGAGTATGAGGGTACATTCCATCACGGCGAGGAAGGCGTGGCATCAGAGGTGGGAAGGCAGCTCCATTAGGGTTTGCTTTCGAAATGATGGCTGCTAGAATATTCACCATTACAAATGAATCTCATTTTACCAAGATTTGTACTCATGATTTAAAAAATAAAATAAAAATATGCACATATATGTATACATGCATATATATATATAGTATATGTATATATATACACATATATATATATATATATATATTCATATTCTACAAGGAAGAGCAAGACTTTGAAGAATTTTTTCACCAGGGCAAGGCCAGAAAAACTATGCTGGCAAGCTATGATTTAGTGTCCTTCTTTACGTGCAGAAGGCAGACCTCTCGTACCTGAGAAGGCATTCATTTTACTGGGGTTGTTCAGAGTCAGTATACCAATGCCGTTCTGGTTCTTCTGAAGATCAATGGATCCACCAGGAAACTGTTCCAGTATCTTTTTCACTTCCTCCTCATGGAAGCCATGAGAGGTGTTATAAAGCGACACCCCTGTTTGTAAGAGTTTTGTCCTTGCAGACACAGTCAAAATATTCTTTGCCATTTCTAGAAAAGAAACAAGTAGGCAGATGCCCCAATAAAAAGAGTCATTTTTCTTTCTTCTACTGTTATGTCTGGACATAATAATAGACCTTTCTCTTGAACTGTAAAAACCTCTCCAATAAAGGTAAGCTCCATTAAAAAAAAAAAAAAAAAAAAAAAAAAAAAAGACATGGTCAGGTCAAACAGGCCAGGCTAGCCTACAGCTCATTTTCCTTCAAGGTTCCAGCTTTCACGGGTGTTGGCCCGTGCTGGGGTGCACTTTCAAAGATGCAGCTCCCTCTGAGTCATTCTGTAAGTAAATGCACCAGTTCACCAAGGTGGAATTTAGAGGACTGTTACTGTGGTCTGTCATTGGTTCTCAATGTGGACTGAACAGACATTTGTGTTGTATCTCCATCCTGAACAGTGTCTTGCAACACTGTGTGTGTGTGTGTGACCTTTTTATCAGCTATCACAGATTTTTTTATTCTACTGCCCACAGCTTTACAAATGTGTATAAGATGACAAATCTCACATTCATGGCTCTGATTCAGACCTCGTTTATAGCTGGTTGTCCCTTTAATTTAACTGGAATATTCTGAAATTGAGGGTTTTTTTTGTTTTGTTTTTTTATATGCCTCTCTACTAACAAAAGTTATGTCTAAAGCTTTCCTTGATATGGCCATCACTTAAAACTTGCATGTCTTCCTTCATGATCACTCCTCACACATACACATGCATATACAAATGCATATGCATACACATACATGCATGGAACCAAATAACCAGTCTCACAAATGTAATATGCTATATTATTTCCCCCCTTAAATTATTTTTTCTCCCTTTTTTGACCTGGTTCTTCGAAGACAGGATTCTAAGTTTCCACCTAAGAGTGATTACTAATATTAACCCATGTTAACATGTTACACATATCAGTAATTTTTGCTTCCTCTCACAGGGCAAATGGATGTTATAGGTTAGGACTAATACATTCTTTTAGAGGTAATTTACCAGTAAAGAGCCAAATAAATAAATAAATGATTAGCCAACTTAATTGAGGGGACCCAGTCAGTACCTGTGTCATCCTATTCATTTCCATTCCCAGAGAAAGACTGAATTTGAGCTCTCTGTAGGAGCAACACAGTGTGCCTACTTCTACTGGTACTGCTGTTTTGACTTTGCAATTCTATTCTCCTTCATTTCCTCTCGACTGGCCAGTTTTATTCACCACGATATTCCTTCATGTTTTGGGAGAAGACAACTGGAGATAGCTACCTTTATTCTCTCACATTAAGAACACCACACAGAGCAGGTGTCACACTTCTGCTGGATCTGCTTATGGTATAGAAAAACATAAGCTTTCAAGATCACAAACTCAATTGAAAAGTTGAGTGGCCTACATAGCCACTAATGAGTTCATCACTTGTACGTGGGCTATGTGTGCTCTGTAAAGGTTTGGTTTCCTCCTGAATCTGATCATGTATAAGGAGATAACTCAACTAAGAAATGAATTTGGAACAAAAGTTCTGATCTTCCCCACAATGGTCATAACTCCAAATGAAAACCTGATTAGGATTAGATGGCTATTTAAGGAATATTAATTTGTCTGCATTTGTACAATACTTTGTTTAGGAAAAGAACAAAACAATAATGTATAAAATACAGAGAAGCGGCTTAAAAATCTTTGTCCTTTAATTCAGCACTAGGGAGGCAGAAGCAATCGGATCTCTGTGAGTTTCAGGCCAGAGCTAATTCTAGGACAGGCTCCAAAACAATACAGAAAAACCCTGTCTCCAAAAACCAAAATAAATAAATAAATAAATATTGGTATTTTAATTGTTATTATACGCTAGTAGAATCGGTTTTTTTGTTTGTTAAGGGGTCTGCCTACTTTACATAGTTATATTGTCTCCTTCTCCAACATCTGGCGACTCTAACATGATTAGTATTATTGCTATCAGATCATGCCTTCTGACCTTCAAATTACTGAACACTTAAAATATTATGTAATACATTGCTTTGTGTCCTAAAAAAAAAAAAAAAAAAAAAAAAAACTGATTGTGAAATGGACACTTTCCCAAGAAAGGGTTCTACTATGACAGGTACCCACCCATTTTACTAATTCCATATCTTTCTCTTCTTTCTGTATTCTAAGCCTCTTCCAATACAGACCCTTGTTTCCTGTACTTCTTGCAGATTCCATTTATCTGTACCAGAGTAAATCAAGCCTGCCTGTTAGACTCACTGACCCAAACGCTGGGGACTCCAATTCTAACAACAGCTTGTTGTGCATACTTTCATCCCAATTCCAAACTCACAAACTAAAATACATAATGGGCTGGGCTGGATAGATGGTCCAGTAGTTACAGTCATTTACCCCCCCACTTCCAGAGAACCTGAGTTTGGTTCCCAGCTGGTAACTCCTACTCCAGGAGATCCAGTCCCAGTCTGACCTCCCATTCTTGTGCATATAGCCTGGCCACTCCCCCATATACGTAATTAAAAATAAGTCCTTTTTAGAGATACATGGTGCCTGTGCTGCTAAGATGGTAAAGTGTCAGACATTAGTGAATTAGAGTAATATCTGAAAATACAATTAAAAAAGAGGTTAAGATTCAGGTGCTGCCATAGACTAGACACACATATATTTGTTTTACTATTGGGAACATAAGGCAATGAGAAGGTTCTGGGGCGGTTATAAATAAAACTTTCTTCAGTGCAAAAAAAAAAATATATATATATATTTGTTTTTCCCCAAACTGTGTCATGTGGGCTGCTTTGCTCTCCTACAAGGAACAGATTGTCCCAGCTGAGAAATGAGAAAGCTGGCCGCCAAACCACTGGGAAGCTGAAAAGGGTCCCACTCTGGCCATCTGGGACCAAGGGTTTTTCCTCTCCAATTCTTATGTTAGTCCTTAAATTAAAAGTCCTTTTCTATTTAACACCACACTGGAATCATTAACTAGTGCCAGAAAATTAACATAACTCCACATTTAAGACAAGGAAGTAAACAATAAAAAATCAGAATCAAATGCATAGCCTTTTGCTCAGGTTTTCAATTTTATACTCCTTAACTCTCAAGTTCCACACACACCCAAGAAAGTAATTTTCAATTCCGCAAACCTCGTTTTCTGTCACCCCAAATTTTAGCACATTTGAAGTTACAGTTTTTGCCTTTCAGACAATAATTCCAAGTTATCCTAACTCCCTAGTCTACATAAAACCCCATCTTTATCACCAATATTTGAGGTCGAATCAAACACTATCCTAACTATTCCTTTTGACAAATTGTCCTATTAAATTTAGTTGCCAAGAGGGCATCTGGAATGTTAAGAATAAATAGTTGCTGGCAGACAAGTAATTTCCAATAATTTTCTTAAAACAAAATTCGTAGGCCTTAAGGACCTGAGCACAGCTAACTCAGCATCTATCTAGTTCGTTACTGGAACTCACCCTGCTGCAACTTAGTCTCTCCACAAGCCGGTTTGTCTTTCTGGAAGGATGATCCTTGCTCTATGCACCCCAGCTAACAATCAGCTAATCAGCTGTCAAGTCATAGTCCAATAAGCTGTCCAAAAACAAAACAAAACCAATCCGCTTTGGGGCCATGCCCCTTCTTCCTCCATCCCAGAGATTTCGCAATTCTCTCTGCCAGTGCCCCCAAGACAGTGGTATTCCTTCATAACAAGTCTTCGATTAGATTTGCTCATATCTCTAAATCTGTTGCACCCAGAACAGAAGCAACTTGTTATAGAATCCGACGTGAAAGTTCGAATAAGTACTGACTTTTACGTCCTTCACAAAGCCTTTCCAGGTAATGACTCCTCGGGATTTTGGACAAGAGTGGGGAGGGGTTAGATACCTTTCGTACCACCCACCAAAGTTGGATTGCTCCTCTTTTATTGTTTAAAAAAAAAAAAAAATTGCTTCGCGAAACAAACATGTAGTCAATGTTCAAAATAAGCAAGATAATTAAGTTCACCAGTAGACATTGTAGAGAGCCAACGGAACATCACCTAAGTTCTCCCGGGGATTCCAAAGCACTCAGAAATCAACTTGGGGAGCCGAACTCCGATCTCCTCATCCTCTGAAACTGCTAGCGTCGCTGTTTTCCCGCGATCTCCGCAGCAAGCCAGGAATCTTCCCGGAGACCTCCGAGCCTCACGAGACCCACCTGAGCGGCCTGCACTGCCTCCACCGGCCGGCAGAGGGCAGCGCGCCTGCGCGGACGCTCGGTGCGCAGCCGCGCGCCCCTGCGCTCGGGGTCCGCCGGAAAAGGCGCTCCTCCGCGATCACGCCACACCAGGTTCCGGCGTCCTCCGGGCACCGGCACGCGGGCGCACCCCGAGAGCCGCACCGCTCTCCATGCTTGCCGCTCTACAGCCCCTGGCGCTGACTTCCCCTTCCGCTTTCCCAACAGCGGCTTCCGGGACTCTCGCCCGCTGTCCTGCTTCCGCTCCTGGTGCCCGGTCCCTGCTCACGCTCAGGCCCTTCGCAGGCCCGAGCCCCTCGGCCCGCCGTTCCGGAAGTCCCACCCCTGCCCATCCGACTGCCCCCTTCCGGACCTTTGTCCCTGAAAGGTCGCGAGCTGGAGGACCGGCTTGCATTTTTCTGCGCTTGCCCGTTCTTTGGCGTAGGGTTCACCCTTCCACCAGGAAGGGAGAGAAAGGTAAAGGACACGGTTCCTGTGGTCAGGGTTAGGTCATCCACTCCACCCATCAGAAGTTAAATACTCAGCCCTTGCTTCTCACGTGACTGGCGTGCGCTCTTTAAAGGCCTCAAGCTAAAAGCCAGGGCAGACCTCTGTATGGCACAGGCTGTAAAGAAGTTTGGAAGACAACCAAAAGGAGAGGCCCTTCTGCTCCAATATTGGAATCACTGTCACAGAGAAAGGACTCCGATCAAGTCCTAGGTAGATGATAACAAAGATAGATTAAAGCGGTCGAAACATTTTAATCAGTTGCTTTGAGCAGGTGCAGTTTGGGTGTTTTAAGAGGACAGTCCCAGCTCAATCATCAGAGGCCTGGAAAGTACAACCTATTGGTCAGTGTAGAGGTGGTTAGTCCAGCAGCATTTGCGATTACCAAGAGATCTAACCTACAGGAACTGAGGGGACAAAAGGCTTTGCTTTCTTGTAAGATGTGTTCCTTGGTCCTTGAAGGGGTCCAGTGTGTGTGGGGGGGGCATTGATTTAAAACTAAAGGTTTTTCGTTTTTGTTGTTGTTCATAACTGGCTTTACAGAAGGTTCAGGGTTCTCTATGGCTCTTTCCAGAAAGTTGTTCATAGTTCCCCCTGTTGATCTTTTAGCAATGGAGATGTCACATAGTAATTTTCCTTTGTTGATGGGAAGGCACATTTCTAGAATAAGATGTAAATTAGGTTGAGTAGTAGGCAAGATCTTGAGGAAAAAGGAGTAGCTAGGGAAACCACTGAGGAGAGACTTTTGGAGTGTATCATCAGAATCTACTGGTCATTACGATTTATATCTGATTTACTTTTGCCTCTGTATTTGCATAATGCGGCATATAATAGGACTGACACACCTAACATTAAATCAAAACACTGGCCTAATAAAGTGAAGGTAGCAGATGTCGGGAAACAAATAGTATAATCAATGAAAATAGTTCTTGTAAAAACTAGATTGACTATGTGTTTTCTCATGTGTGTAGTTAGTTGTATTCTATGAATAATATTATATTTGGAGTATTTAAACACATTTCCTGTTCTTTAGTTTCAGTTTTCTTTTGGCCAGCCTGGTCTCCAGTTTATTATGTTGTAAGCAACTGAAGCTGTTACTCTATTGAGCAGAAACACCTCTTGACAATAGGAGACTTGACACTCATTTGTCTTTTTGCACCTTGACTGGTTGTATTCATTGTGCCCAAGGCAGCCTGGCAAGATTGATAGCCTTTGTTCTTTTTTGTGTACTCTATGATACTATCTTTATTAAGTAAGTAGAAACCTATGCAATTTGGATACAATACTATCCCATCCTTTGTCAGATTTCTAAGTGTTCCACGCATTGCCATTTCTCAAAAAATTTACTAGCCAATTGACATGGAAAGAGTAAAAGGTGGGGGAAAATGTTCAGGAGATCATAAAAGCATCTTAGGAATTTGTAGTAGAGGAAAAAAATGAACAATTTGTGTTAGTGAACAGAAGTAGCCAAATCATTGTTTATATTTCATATACAGTCTCATCTGTATCCATATGTATGATGTAAACATTGTCTTGAATAAATTGAAATAAACTTTGAGACTAAACCACGTGAAATGAGTTTTTAAGTCCCTTGAGAAAACAGGAAGGTGAGAGACAAAAAGTTGAACCAAAATACCTAAATGATACTTGCTATAGCCTTGTAGAAAGCCAGAAAGCTTGCCATTACTCTTCCCCCCCTCCTTTTTTTTATCCTAGTTGTCATCTGCTTTTCGCTATGTATGCCATATCACTGTAGGTGTACATCTTAGGATGAAGACAGTTTCTACTCTAGTAACTTCTATGCAAAACAAACAAATGCTGGGGGACATTTCATTTAGTCAAAAGTGCTTACCTTACAAGCATGAAGACCTAAGTCTTCTAGACTTCTAGAACTCAAATAAAAAAAAATACTGTTAATGGTGTTGTGTGCTTGTAATCCCATCAGTGGAGAAACTGGCCAGCCAATCTAGCTTAACATGAACTCCAGGCCAATGGGAGGCTGTTTCATGTGTACCTGCACACTTGAACATGCATGTACATGTGCATAAAAAGAATTCAAAGCACACTTATAACTATAGTATCCAGCTCTTGATCCACTGTTAAATTTGTTTTTGCCCCTCACCTACACACTTTTTTGTGTTTAGAATTATATTTTTTCAGAACTGTGAATTCATTCCAGGGTTTCAAGCATGCTAGATAAGTGCTGTTTTATTAACCTACACTCCCTATCATATTCTCAGACTTTTTCAATACCTACTCTTCTTAAGAAACTGACTCAAAATAATCTTGAATCATTTATTAATATGTGTTTTTAAACTTTTTGTGCCTTTGCTAAACCATATCTTTCATTTTGACCATCCCTTTCTTTCTATAGTAATAAAAGGCCGTTGGTAGCCTATTACGAAAAGCATATGATTCTCCACTGCTTTGGCTTTTTTTTTTTTCTATTTAAAATATAATGTGATGCTATTTACAATAGCTAAATTATACAATTCACCAAGATATGATTCAGCAGATGAATAAAATGCATAGATACACAGTGAAGTTTTGCTTAGCTCTAATAAAGAATGTGATTATGTCATTTGAAGAAAAAACAGAACTAGAGGTCATCATATGATGTAAAAATCCACACACACCATAGAAGGATGAAAACAACATGTTTTCTTTCATTATTCTCTAGAGGATAAAAAGACATGAAACTATAAGGGGATGTCCTGGGAATTAGAAAGAGGGTTAAGAATGAGTGGTAGCTTTATATAATGAAAGGATTTTATATGTACATATGGAAATGTCATGAAGAAATATATATGCAATAAGATATATGCAATAAAAAAGTTTAAAAACAAAAAACATTCAAAATGCATCAGTAGCCATTAATGCTTGTGTATTTGATAATGTAGTTTGAAATATTCTGCCCATAGCAATCTACATACCTTCTGCTTCACCATGCTCTTCCAGTATGATGTTTCACATCAGTATAGGCTCAGAAACATGGAGCCAAGCAATTATGGACTGAAACATCAGAACTTCTATGACAGTAATCAAGGCTTTGCACTGCTCTGTGTCAGCTGAAAGGCTAAGAACAGAAACTGAAATTATACTGCCTTGGCCTTGTTGTGGATAGTGTGTCACTGTGAGGGTGGGCTTTGAGGTCTCTTTTTCTCAAGCTTCCCTCAGTGTGACATCAACTTCCTGTTGCCTATAATATGTAACACTCAGCTTCAGCACCACATCTGCCTGCGTGTCACCATGCTCTCTTTCATCCCTTTTGAAATGATAATGGACTGAACTTCTGAAACTGTAAATAAGCCACCCTCGATTAAAATGTTTTCTCTATAAAAACAAGGGAAAAACCTGTATGACAAGAACTTTAAGTCTCTAAAGAAAGAGATTGAAGAAGACAACAGAAAAGGGAAAGGTCTCCCATGCTCTTTAATAGGTAGGATCAACATAATGAAAATACCAACATTGCCAAAAGCAATCTACAGATTCAGTGCAATCCCCATCAAATTCCCAGCACAATTCTTCACAGATCTTGAAAGAATATAACTTAACTTCATATGGATAAACAAAAAAACCCAGAATAGCTAAAACAATCCTGTACAATAAAGGAACTGCCAGAAGCATCACCATCTCTGACTTCAAACTCTACTATAGAGCTATAGTAATAAAAACAGCTTGGTACTGACATAAAAGTAGACATATGGAGCAATGGAATTAAGAGTCTGACATTAATCTACACATGTATGAACACCAGATTTTTGACAAAGAAGCCAAAAAGGTACAATGGAAAAAGGAACCCTTGCCAGAATTTAACATGCATGGCCTCTTGTCTACTTCCTAACGAAATGGGCATTTCTACCTAGACCTTTGTGAATTTGCCCATTACTCTTCAAATTCCTATCAGTATCCTGGACTTCTCAGCTGTTACCACTGATCTTTTCTTGTAGCATTCCAGAGTTGCTTTGACCAAATACCCACAAGTTACTTAAAAATTTTCCAGGTATGGTTGCATATACCCTAAACCCAGCACTACAGAGGCAGAGGCAGGCATATTTCTGGGAGTTTGAGGGCATCCTGATCTATATAGTTTCAGGACAGTCAGAGCCATGTCCAGAGACTGTCTCAGAGAGAGAGAGAGAGAGAGAGAGAGAGAGAGAGAGAGAGAGAGAGAGAGAGAAATGCAAATGTTATCTTGCATTTCAATTCAGAGGTTTTAGTTCGCAGTCACCTGGCATCACTATTTCTGGGTCTGCATTGAAGTAGAATATCATTGTCTAAAGAACATGATAGAACAAACTCATGAATGGTAGCTGGACAATAAAGAGAATAAGAACAGAGGAACTGGGAACAAAGCATGTTCTTAAACATTGGGTATATTAGCTTTCTTGTCTC